GGAAGGCTATAAGCGTCCAGAATTTCGGACTTTTTATTACATTGACTCTATGGGGAACTTGACGGTGCCACAGATGAGTCCAGGAAATCGGGCATGTCTGGAATTTTGGGCGTCCGGGAAATCAGACGTCGACTGTACTGACACGTAGAGAATTTTATCTGAAAAATAGGTGAATTCTTGCATTGACCACTATAATGTGCATTGTTCCAATCTCATAATGCAGGCAGCTCTCATTGAAACCAAGGTCACTGATTATTTTGTTTGCTGTACGAAACCTCAAAAAGGAAACGGTACAAAAAAGAAAACAACAAATTTTCATTGTTAATTCAAGTCTTTTCGAGGACCGCATTGCTAATCATGACTGGCGCTCTTTGTTATGCACCGTTTCTTCAGGTAACCTATACGACACTTTTGTACAGATACTGAACAAGTACAGAAAGAAATGTACCCGCATTGTTAGGATACGATTGCGCCGAAATGAGAACAAACAGCCTTCGCTACAAATATTAGCTGCAATCAAGGAGAAGGACCTTTTGTCGACCCAAGTGAAATTGGCACCAAACCACTTTGAGTTGCTACAAAAATTTAATATGTAGAAATCAAGTGAATGATATGTTCTGGTTGGCTTAGTGGAATCACCTACGAGGGAAAGTGAAGTTCTTTCGAACATGAAAAAGACATGGTCTCTATTAAATGAATTAAGAGATGTATTAAATGTGATGGCCGTCAGTTATCTTTTCTCTCACACTTTTCAGATGATAGAATCACTGTTGCGAATGAGATCATTACTTTTTTTTCACGCGTCTCTGGTATTGCTAAACCACACCCTGAAGTATTTACTCTAAAATACAGCGCATGCGCTTGCGCACCTTCCTTCTATATAAGAATGTAATCTTAAATCCATTCTTTTAACTTAAAACTTGATAAATCACCAGGTATTGAAGGAATTTCAGTACATAATTTATGCAGGAGCTTTCGTGCTATCAAGTGTGAGACTATTTACACTACTAGTATTGACACTGGAATTATCTCAGCAGGATTGGAAAAGGCCTTAGTGATACCCCTGTCCAAGGGAGCTGCACGAAATAAGTATAAAAATTACCATCCTATATGTGTCTTACCTTGCATTTCTCAAATACTAGAAAAACATCCTGCAAGCTATGTTCGCATACTTTGATTACAATCACTTAATCTCAGATGCGCAATATGGTTTTATACCAGGTAAAGGCACGCAAGACCTCCTGGAGGACATTTCAGACATTATAAGTTCTGCATTTGAAGCTAACCAGGGGCCATGTACTCTATTCGAGGATGTTAGCAAAGCTTTTGATAGCGTGTGTCTTAGTCTGATATTGAAAATCTTTATGGCTGGATATTGTGGGCCTTTCTTGAAATTACTTGCGAACTTTTTAGACGATAGAACACAGTTAGTATCCATAGGACAGTGCCGTAGCATTATAACCTGTGTAAAAGCTCTGCTCTTGCACACCTGTTTCCTATGTTTCTTCTGTTAAATACCTTTGTGTACTTCTGGACTGTGACTTCTCCTGGAATTCTTTTCCGACTTACATTTGTTTAAGGCCTCGGGCAGTCTCTCATACATATTGTACGCCACTATGTATCAGTATGCAAAATGATTCTGCAAGGGTTACACTATAGTATTCTTTGGTACGGTGTTACGTCGTTTGGTCACTGTGCAATATGTGGCAAAGATAGAATAAACTTCATCCTTAGTTTTGCATTGAAAGTGATTAGCTATGATTTACAACTGACCTCCTGCACATTATAAATTATTTTATTATAAAAATTTTATTTATTATAAATAAATAAAAAAATAAATTATATGGACACTCCCGCTGTATGCTAACATGCACCTTGCAGGACCACAATAAAGTTTCGCAACCAACCAACCAACTCTTGGCTGGATTTAGCCACCAGCATAGAGGTCTGCGTCATTCACTGTATATGTATACATATCTATATACCGTATTTACTCGCATAATGAACGCACTCGCATAATAATCACACCCCCATCTTCAGTCATCGGAATTTGGATTTTCTTTTTTCTCGCGTAATAGACGCACCCCCTACTTCAATCCTCTGCAGTCCCACTAACCGACACCTGGCACTTCCTCACCCATTGAATTTCTTACGTTTTTTATTACTTTGCCACCCCCCCCCCCCACCCCGGCCACGTTGTCTCGCTCCCTCCCTCCCCCCTTCGCTCGTTGTCGCGTGCTGTATTGTTTTTCTTTTTATCTGTGTGCCCAACGTCCCCCGTCATATCTGTGCCTCACAGCGGGGTTGACGAACAATGCGAGTGTAGACATCGCAGCTGATAAGCACTCCACGAGCGAAGGTCACGAAGCTGCTTGTGCCAACCGACGATCGCTTCCTGCAATACGAAAATTCCCAATCATGTGCTCGCAATTTTTGAGCGACGACGACACGATTTGCTGACACAGAGGGTCATTTGTCGCTATTGCGTCGCAGGTTTTTTGACAACCAGAAAAAAAAAAGCTTGTCATCCAGAGAGGATCGTGACAATTTCTGCAATTTTGTAGCACCCTGATTCTCGCTTCGCTTGTTATTCGCGCGCAGAGGAACTTCTCATGTAAAAGCCAGGCGGCAGCCGTATTTTGTCGTTAATCTTGTTATTGCCGGTTTGTTTTGATGCTTCGGGGGTAGCTTGCTGCAATGCTGGTTACTTGCTACGATGTTAACGAGGTCGTCACGGTCGTCGTGTGAGGTTGCCGCGAAGTTGGCAAAATGCGTCGTAGCGTGGTAGCGCACACTTTTGGGCCCCCCCTCGAGATCACGGCGGATGTCGCGGTTAAACGATTGCGAAAAAATATAGCTGCAAAACGCTTTTGCAGCATGCACGAGCGGCCCGTGGACAGCTTGCAGAAGATAGCACAATCAATCACGGAAGATTAGTAAAATGCAACAAAGAAGGTGTTTCCAAACAGTGTATACATATGTCCATTGCGAAAAGCTAAGCTACCTAACTGTTTTTTTTGCATTGCTGCATTTTCGGCTCCTCCTGAAAAAGTTTTCATAAAGTTTACCCTGCCTAATAAACGTAGCCCCGCAACTTTGCTCCGATTTTTCGAGAAAAAAAGTGTGTTCAATACGCGAGTAAATACGGTATATCATATGGAAGCGCAAGAAAAATGATCCAGAAAATGACTCTGGCACGTGGAACAGAATGTCTGACCTCTTGCTTGCGAGTGCGAGGCATTAGCCACTGAGTCACGAAGGAGCACCTACTTCAACATCGAAATGCCAAGCTATTTATGTCTACCACTTACTTCTGGCGAGGGTCACCTCGGAGGAACTATCGTGTTTTCAGCCTTACCAGTGACATGGCGCAATGAGATTGCATCGCCAGATCATCTTGATGCAGCGGCGGGGCTCTCTCTTATTTCCCTCCCATTTGTACTTTGCCCCGCAGAGAGCTGGAGAGGGGGAGGTGTCAACTCTCACGCGGCGTGCACGCTCTTATCTTGGGTGGAAAGAATCGTGTTTCTTGGGCTTTCACCGAAAAAATACTGTTGTAGTTACCGGGCGCACGAAGTTCACTGCACTCACTGCACAGTCTCCGTTTGCGAAAAGAAAGCGCTTGTCAGACACAGCGAAGTAACGATTAGGACACTTATTCGTGTGAGCAACGTGGAGACGTTTTAATCTGCTTGTCATTTTTCGCGTGACCTTTCAGTCTGGTGCTGTTGCATTCATTGCTTCGCCTTTGCAGCAAAGCTGTGAATCACTACAATTTTGATGTCCTCCTTACTGAGACTGCTGTCCAGAGGCATTTTCGGTCCAACAAATATTAAGTTCCACATGTCTCTGCTGCCTTCGACCTAAAAGCCGTTTTCAGGTGATTCGCTGCTTCACCAGATATGATCAGTGCACTCCTAACTATTTCATACCATCTTGCTTTAATAAACTACCCGCGAGTGTTTTTCATGCTAAATCAAAATTTCAATTGAAGCAACTTCTGCGTTGCATTATTCTGTAACTCTTTCGCAATACTTGTTCATTTTCTCGGGTAAATGCATTAGGGGTATCAGAATCTAAGGGTTCCTATGTTGCATCAGGCTTTGCAATGCCCTTTGGTGTACTAAAGGAATTATATTTCAAATTTTTCTCTTTTTTTGTCTCTTGTTTTCTATGCACGTTTTAGAATGGATGTTATAATGCTTTGTCATGTTATTTTTGTTTTCTTGGTTTTCTTTCTTGTTTTTCTTTTTTTCTTTTTACGTCGCCAAAAGCCTAAAGATGTCCTATTATTGTATAGATGCTGTTTTATGATCGAATGTCAGGATAGGTGACTGTGCTTGTATTAGTATCAGATTTATTTTGTCTTGCACTGTTGTAAAAGCATGCCTTTTTTTTTGTATACATACACAAAAAAAGGGGGGGGGGTGCATCTATGTGGTTTTAGATATATTAAGTCTTGTAGTCTGCTTTCTGTCGGCTCTGCCCTTCAAGCCTAATGAGGCTTTGCCAGGTTAATTTTGTATCTCTGTGGCTTTTTTTTAAGAATGTGAATAAAAGATTATTATTATTATTATTATTATTATTATTATATTATTATTATTATTATTATTATTATTATTATTATTATTATGTTATTATTATTATTATTATTATTATATTATTATTATTATTATTATTATTATTATTATTATTATTATTATTATTATTATTATTATTATTATTATTATTATAAAGGCTGTTTAGATAAAGTCGCAGTGCCACCGTGGTCTCTCAATTCTTTGCAAGCGCTCCTGAGATAGCATGACACAAATTCACTAAATTCGCCTGCTTGTTGGTGTATGCACGAGGACTAACACAAATAACACAGATGATGGTCGAAAATTGGGTGCTGTGGCCCCTTTGAGCATGACGAGGTAAGTGAAGCTTGACTTGCCAAAAAGCTACAGCACCTGGCAAAGATTCATTTGTGAGCGATGTTGGTCGTGCCTTGTTTGCAGGCGCATGACTCATCCGTGCGCTGCATGGTGTGGAGTCACAACGACACGTGGATGGTGACGGGTGACCATTCGGGCTATGTCAAGTACTGGCAGTCCAACATGAACAACGTCAAGATGTTCCAGGGCCACAAGGAGGCCATTCGAGGCATCAGGTGGGCACCTGGCAGGCACTGCACAGGCAATGGGCAGTAGAAGTCACATGCATCACACGTTGTCTTCTCGCCTTAGAGAGGGCCATTTCCTATAGTCAGTGGGGAACTTTTTGACACTGTGGTCCTTATAGTTAGCTCTTTTATTGAGGTTGCGCCCTCATTGGATTGGTTCATATGTATTTACAGTTTTATACATTCATAGTGCATATATTCTCACACTGTTCCAGAGAATTGTCCCACATCCACAAAAAAAAAAAAAATCGACTTTAAAGAACATTGTGCGGGAGTCATGCCTGAAGAAGCACACTAAAAGACAAATGTGCACATAGTATCTGAGCGCATAACACAGCTAGAAGCTTAAAGCTCACACTGTGCTGGTGTTTACCAGGGACTTGTTCTCTCTGTACAGATTCTTTTCTCATTTTTACACCTGTTTTGACCCTTCTGGATTAAAACGGGTGGCCAGAGAAAATTGATTGGATACAGCTCCACGGGAAAGTGCACTGAGTGACAAAAAATAACGAGTGCAAGAAAAAAAAAGTAGGTCTGGTTAGAGGGGAGTGTACCGGGCAAGGGCAACATTTTTGCTTGTTGAGATATCTTTATTAAATTTTCAGAATATACTTTCAGAAAAGGAATTCGATGAAGCCAAATTTTGATGTTTCACAAAGTTACGTTGACTGGTTTCCAAGTTACAGCCATGGGTCAGAGTAGTTCTCATGGGTCCCTTGCTCAGGGCCCAGAGAATTTGGAAAATGTGCTATAACCGTGAAATTCATGATGAAAATTTCTTTCTCGCCTTAGGGCGAGAAAGAGCCCTTTTTTCATTTTTATGTGCTGACAAAATTTACCAAATCATGGAATCTAGCATTGCTCATGAGGCTTACATCAATGAAACTTTACTTGAAGGGGCCTAGCAAAACTTTATGACCATGGTCAGAAAACGATGCCGTTTGGTAGTTGAGGCTCCCGAGAACACGCGTGCCGATTAATGTAGTACAGCATACTGCCTGGAGTCGTTTTCTCTTCTCCCAATAAATGACACTACCAGCTGAAAAGTCTCTGTCTCACAGGCCTAGTATTAGCCATTGACTGATTTGAGCCCAACACACCAGGGAGTCACTGGAGCCGCCACAAGAGACCGAGGCGTCCGCGCATGCACATGCGATCACCCTGCAAAGTTGCGTATTCTGAGGTGGGGGGGGGGGGGGGGGGGGGAGTGCGTAAGGTTGGAGGTGACCGTAACGTACAGTCAGCAACCATTTTCTCGTAGCCTCAAGGGACTGCGAAAACGTCTGGAAAATCGAGCAGTGTGTAAAAAGGAATGCATGCGAAAATGCACCTGTTCAACGGGTATTTTTTTCTGATAGGAAAGGTCACGGCAGCAGTACAAGATTCTTGTTGCATTCCAGCGAATGCGTCGTTTAGGTGGCTCTGAAAAGAGCCGCTTGTTAAAAAAGAAAGAAAAGAAATTCAATGTGGCCGACACTACCTCATGGGTGAACACTTTGGCCCGAGTCAGTGAGTGAAACAGTTTTATTGACGATCTGGCATAAAGGGGGAAGGGACTGGCGAATTAAAGTGACTCTAGCGTGCTCGGACGTTCTGGCAGCAGCAACCTACTCGCGTCAAACCCGTGGGGGCGCCGCTTTTGGCTACTGGCGTTCCAGGATGCCAAGCATGTGCTGGATCATGTTTCTTTGGTTGCCTGGCTCTTGGCTGATGATTTGATTGCTAGTGATTAAAAAAAAAGTCGCTGATTTTCTTCTGCACAGCATTCTGCTAACCCGGGATCATGTCTGCCTCAATATCGGTTAACGTCGTGCTGCTGCTGTACACTGATGACAGTGAACTCCGAGCTCATTCGCTGTGTAGGCGTTGCCTCTTCGACCTCGCTGTGAGAGTTGTTGGAATCCTCCGTAACTTGACAAATGATATCGTTATCCGTAAATTCTGCACACAGCTTGAGGTCTTTCTTTTCTCGTCCTCTGCCAACATTTTGTGGTCTCACATGCCGTTATCCGAGCATCTTTCTTTTTGGCCCATAGCCTTGAAGAGGGGAACTTGTCGAAGTCACTGCTCATTTCTTGGTTGAGCGAAAACTCAACACAATGACGAAGAAGATTAATTCAATCACATACCGTTACTGGAAGTTCTTGTAGGGTTTTCTCGCACCTAAACATGAACTACCCGGCCCGGCTCTTCACGCGCGTTTCTCAATAAAATATTTTGTACAATATGCTGGCATATTTGCCCAAACTACGATGGCAAGGCCCCTCAACCACGACACACGAATGTACGTCCGGAGGCTGGCCGGGCTCATGTTCCAACCAAAACCGAAATGCCTGTAGAGGGCGCTATCAAGTTGTTACTGCTCACGCACAGTAGGTTTCCTGCAAATGGTCAATTGGCCTGTGCTAGATTTGGGCAATTGCGGTTTCAAGAGTACGGCAGCTGTGGTGCAGTAGTGCTGCTGGCCACACTGGGCCACACCTGCAATGCGTGTTTGGTTCGAGGCCAAAACAATCAAAATGGTGGCATTAGTGGTGACCTGAAGTTCGTGGTTAGCGGTAAAAGTCTGAAAAATCGGATGGCAAAGGTTATAAGCATTCAGAATTTCAGACTTTCAATGCGTTAACTCTATGGGAAACTTGACAGTGCTAATGAGTCGGAGAAATCTGGCATGTTTGGAATTTCGGGTGTCCGGAAAATTTCTCGTCTACTGTATTTTCTTACCCCTTGCCATGTCTTCCTGTTTAACTTCCAGCGCTTTCGTCGAGACGAGAGAAGAGAGAATGCAATTGCAGCGTGCGACAAATCTGTGTAACTCCACTCGTTTTTGGACGGATTCTGAAAATTTTCGCAGCAATGAATTCGTAAGGCAATATGCCTTTTTCGTGAATCCATTTCATGGCTACTTGAAAAAATGTGGGCCCCTTTAAAGAAACTTAAAGCAGACATTAATTTGGTGCTAATTGCTCAGATAGCGGTCTAGGAACCTCATAGTGCTGCTTTCGTGTAAATGAAATGCTCATATTGAAATAAAATCTAATTTTAGTGGTCCACAAGGGGTTGTTAGTGCACTTCGAGTCACCTGCTTTAAAACGGACCTCTCGAGGTAGCAGTTTCCCCCTTTACTGCGTGGTTGCCGGCACTTTCAGTACCAGAGCGAAAGTAGCGAGAATCACTGCAGCAAGAATGGCCATTCAAGAATTTTCTGCTAGCTTGGTTAAACTGGATGACATAAGCTATTCAGCCTAGCCAGGTGAAACGAAACTATTCTCAACATTTCCCATAGTAATGCCATGTGGATTTTCTTTATGTACCAAACAGAAATAGACAAGCGGTCTTTTATTACATCTTGTAGAACATGGAAGGTTCTTTCTTTACTGCAGCTGGTTTGATTACCTTTAATAATTGTAGTCGAATGCTTTGACGTCATTAGGATCATTTCCGAAATGTCCCACTCGTAGCGCATGTGTCGTGCATTCACCTTCGTTTCTCGATAAGCAGGGCACTGCTGTTGATAATACTGCCATTTTAGGCATTCCCAAACATTGATCTTTCACTCTGACGCAAGTTGTTATTTGCCTCTAGGGGCCCTTCAAAAAAATTCTAGCTAGCACATCATCCTCACAGTGGCACTGCCTTTTCCAGTTGGGGGGCTGGTGCCTATTGCATGAGGAAATTTGGCAGGAGTGATGACTTTTCTATATCTGATCAGCGCTTCCTCTATTTTATCAATGCCAGCTGGTCAACGCCAATCTTTCACCACCCTCTCCTCTAGCCTTCTGCTTCTCGCCCATCACCTAGCCTTCGCGTGAGCTTTGCGCTCATTGGAGAGAGGACTCCTCGTGCAGTGCCTCAAGACAGAAATTGTTTGAAGCAACTTTTTGTTAAGTTGTGTACAGATCCGTGGGGTGGCGTCTTGCATTCTTCATGTTCACAATGCTGGCAGTCACGTTTGCTTTGCAAGAGATAGGGTATTTTGAGATCGCACATCTCCATTCATGGTGCTTTGCAGGCAACCAATGGGGGCACGTCACTGCGACGCTGCTACAGCGTACTAGAAGTGATGTGAATGCTACTCTAAGGGCGTGAATGGGTCTTGCTGCCACCGTCGCAGCAAACTTCAGACCTAGTGGTCTTCAGCCTTTTTGAACAACAAAGGCTCTGCTTCAGGACTTTTCATCGCACCCCACTACCCGCGCTGCGCGAAGAACGAAACTAAAACTGTAGAAAAAAGTCTGTAGACAGTTTGCTAGCTAGCCATATTCAATCCGAAGCCTGTACTTTCCATAATTCCCATAGAGGTACACGATTGCAGGGCCAGATTCCTCTCTAGGTATTATTGTTCAAACTCTATGGACAAAGCCAGCAAAAATTCAACATTGGCGGTTTCCAAAATCGAGCGGCATAACTCAAAACAAACGATTTCACCTAGAAAGTAGAACTTTGGAGCATGAATTCCTTCGAAAAATTGATCACAATAATGCATTAGTGCAATGGGAACCTTGACGGTGCATTTGTGAAGTCCAAAATATTCAACTAGTTCGAATTTTTGGAGTCAGAAAAATCCATTGCCGACTGTATACAACAGAGCTATTTAATATGCTTAAGATAGCCCCTTTCACACAGAGTTCGTGACTCGGAGGTAAATGCGTTCCTTCGGCTTGGCTTCCTGACCCAGCCTCCTAGTATTATAAGCACTCGGAGTTTGCATAAGGGATGCACAGTAAGAGTGAAAGAACGCAGTTTAAACAAGATAAGCCTTTCTGAAAGCATTATGGTCCTCCATAATACTGGCACGATAAAACGGAGTCTTTACCGATATAAATGTTACGACAAGGTTACTTGTACTTGGGCTTCTCATAAAACAGTTGAGGGCCTTTGGACTTGTATGAGGATTAGTGCTCTGGATATGGCAGAGGCTGCTGAAAAGACGAGCTTATGCTATCATCGCGGTTTTGCTACTTCTCCACTTTTTGTTGTTCGCCATT